CGTACTATATAATTTTCTTGTATTGTTGTAACATTTTACGGTGGAATAGCCTTTTTTCATCTAGTAACGCTATATTTTTCAACAAACGCTAAGGTATTACTTCCACTTTCTTTTTTCTCATCTGTCACATCTTGTTCCGATTCATTTTCACCATCATCACCTCAATTTGATCTATTTCGCTTTCACTTTCGTCATCGTCAAAATAATTTTCATCGTCGGTAGGAATCATGTCCATAATTCCAACAAGCGTTGGAATCAAAGTTGTTTGGCTTCAAAGGACATCTATAAATAAGAATTGACAAAAACTAACCAATAAAATGTAATAATAAGATGAAAAATATTTACCTGTTCTGCAAGTTCTGCAACAAATAATAGCTACACCGTTAGTCGCTACGGATTCTGGCACCGAAAATAACTATAAAACTCACACAACTGTACCCAGGAATGTAAGAATGTACACTAACACGAGTTTGGTTGATAGAGAGAGGTACAGAAAGTGACAATAGAAAAATAACAGTTATTTGTAAATCCCGAATGAATAATTTTGTCGTCGGTGTGTGAGACCGATAGCGACTAACGGAGGGTTAAAGAAATACCTTCTGCTACCGCGACAAAACTTTTGCGTTTAGTATATAAATTACTAATAGTTTTCGGGTCCTTAACCCAAAAATAGTCGAGTGATACTGATTCTGTCACACACAGACTCACCATGCGAAAGTAGTATGAAGAGAACTGTCAGTTCTCTTCATGCAGTCAATCTCTTGGCTACTGGCCCTTATAACAGGTCTATTGGGAGACCATTATCGCGAATTTCTGAGCATTGAGGTCATGTGCGACAAGCATGGGCTCGGTGGCCAGACCCCTCGGGTGCCCAGCTGCCGAGAAGAGCAAATTAAATTTTGCCATATCGACAGCTTAGTGACCGAACACACACTATTCTTGTACGGAGGGGCATCAACTTAGGTTAATGCCTCTCCGTGCGATACACACACCTTTTTAGGGAGTTTAGTCCAAAGTAATGCTAATTACAAAATTAAACTCAGTAAAGTACCTAGGGAGAAAAGCTTGTAGCTACCCCTAAAAATGAGGTGGCCTAACCACAACCATGTCTATACGGAGGATGTTGTTTATTACCCAAATCGCCCGACGTAACAGTTCATAGCTAACTTTTTGCTATCTTTTATCTTATTTTGTCATTTTCACTTATTTTTTAAAATTACTAATTCGTGTTTGTTGTATTCTTTCTTTTTTCTGTTCTATACTACTTTTCCCTGCAGAAGTAGTTTGTAGAATTTTTACTTACCAATATTTCTAAAAGTTGTCCAAAGATAATGAAATTTTGTTCATTGTCCACCATCGTTCTTATTTATACGAATAAAAGTACTGTAATACTTTTAAAAGCTCATACTATATACCTCTAACAGAAACGTGGCTCCATTCTTCTATCTCCGATGCTATTACAAACATTGATAATTTTACCATATTTCGTAAAGACAGAGGTGCTCGTTGAGGGGAGAAGTAGGTATGCATTTATTTAGAAAAAAAAATTACTAATACTTTTTTAAGAGTAACAAAACAATAGTTGTATCAGATATAAAAATTATTCACGTACTTATTACCAACAACAAGTTTACATTTAATATAATTTGCATATACCGACCCCCGGATACATTAAGTACTTAGGACGATATGCTTATTGACAAACTTAAGGAATTATTATTTAATATTATTATAAAAAATTATCGCTATTCTGAAAAATATTATTATTGTTGAAGATTTTAATTTTCCAAAGATTAGCTGGCATATTATTTTCAAAACTTATAATATTAATTTCTAAAATTTGTTTAAAATCTTGAACTCAAATTTATTACAACTGATAACTGAACCTACAAGGTTTAGAGCTAACAGTAATCTCTCAATTTTATACTTATTTTTCACAAATGATGATCAATTAATTTCTACGTTTAAAGTATTCTCTCGCCTATTGCTGTGTTTAATTTAGTTTAACATTGCTTTGCAAAAATAGTTTCGTAACGTATGCCACTGCTGATTTCTTTAATGGGCTTTAATTTCGTTTTATTTCAGATAGACTGGCAATCTATTTTTATTATTTAGTCAGATCCATCGTTAGTGTGAGACTTTTTTTTTTCATACAGCTATTACAACAATTTCTGATCATATAACTGAAAACTAACGAACATTAAACTCACTGGTTTCCTTGATGATTTTGACTACTATGCAATACCTGTAAAAGACTGCAATGACATAGTCTGCTAGCCAAGCTGCATTAAGTCTCACACATTTTGTGTTGTGAGCATATTTCTTCCATTTTATGTTACCTCAGCCAATTCCATATTTTTGTAACATTAATGCTTACTACAAAACTACACTTTTACAATTTTTGATACATGTCCTGAAACAAAATTTCACTACTGGACATGTATTCGTAGCATCTAACTACTATTGAAACTTAAGCGGGATCGAGAACAAAACACTAGAATGATTGCCCACGTCTGGACAATACATAAAAAAATAGGAATATTTCTACTAATAAAATTCTGGATCATTTTGTTTGCATAGTTTTGTAGTGAGTGAGTCTGGAATTCTTACACTATAGATTGTCTTAAAGTGACTCTTCTGTACAGAGAAAATGCACATCATCGATGCCATAATTCTTTGCAAACTTGTTTTAAAATAAACATCACTTTTTACTACTTAGCCTAATCCATATTTTGTGTTGAGCGTAACTTAAGTACTAATGCCCACTAACGACGCTGCCTGGTTTCCTTCTGTCAGTGATTCTCAAACATAAATAATATTTGCTACAACATACTTGGGTTAAATTAAAATAAAATAGAAATTAGGAAATGCCTTTAATGTATGTCACGCAAGCAGTTTGTTTTTAATTCTACAGTATGTGCTAGCAATGCAAACCATTTGTTTATAGATTTAAATAAAATTGAATAAAATAAAACTAAAATAATAACATTTTATTTATGTATTGTTCCATTCAAAAATTAAGGGGGAAGGAATTTAAAAGCCGCACTGTATATGTTGGCGGTAACAAAACGTAGAAATATCAGAGAATAAAACTAATAAATAAGTAGAAAATAAAAGCATTGTATTTAATTTCATGTGTAAGTAATCGTAATTGTACACCATTATATTTAGTTCCTTTTTCTGTCAATCGCTGTCACATTTAGTTTCTGATTAACTATCATCACCATCATTATTATCGTCACTGTCATCACTATCTCCGCTATTTATATTTATAATAATTGGTTCGATATCATTAAACATATTTACAATTTCCCACATTTTTTTGTTGCTATTACGTGGTTTACGTAGTTTTTCCATTTCTCTGGCGTAATGACCTGGTACGCTGCTGTAATTAAATTTCGCATTTCAGCTTCTTTAAAATTTGCGTTGCGTCCGTTTCATTTCACTCCAAACCATTTCGATGGGATCGAGTTCACAGTGATAAGGTAGGAGCCTTAGAATTTTCACATTGTGCTTTTTGGCAATATCTTCTATTATGTACCTGTCATATTTTGCTTTGAAGGCCTTGACTGCATCACGTATCTCGCATGTATCACGTCTTAAAAAGTAGGTCCTTTGACAGAAGACATTCTTAAATATCTTTTTTTAGTGTTGGAAATTTGTTCTGACTTTCTGCTGTGATAGTAGGCATTACCCATTTCTACAACAGTTTTTTCTTCTGGCAAATTTAGTATTAAAATATTTTCGAACCAATTTTCGAAGGTCGGTCCATCCATTTCATGGTGGTCCTAAGTATTTTTCTTTGACAAAAACGTGAGTTTTCTGCCAAGTTTTATAAACACAAAATTTATATCACTCAGCAAGCGATGTAGCGTGGCCCGTGAAAAGTTGGGCAAAGTTTCTTCGACATTTACAACAGCTAATATGGTATTTATTGTTGGTGGTATGTTGTCACGAAAAAAATGATGAAGTATTTTACGAATTTGGCCCCTAACACCTTCATCGTACTTGTTCTCACGAAAATTACTAACCTTTCGCTTTTTGGTTCTGCTCTTTGGAGATTGTAATCCTGTCTCTGAAACAGTCTTTTCGCAATCACTACTCATTTCTGACACTTTCCTAATTACACTTGATACAGAATCGTTGTTTTTCTGATTAAGATATTATTTAATAATATTGACTAGTATCTGCTTTTCTGAAAGTTTCAGAGCTTGTCCACGTTTCCATTGAACAATCTCGTCCATTTTGCGGTAAAAATTCGGCGTGAAATATAACAATAGCCAACAACAGAAAATAACAATAATTGCCAACAGCAAATCACAACAACAGCCACCAACAAATAATAACAATAACAAAACAGTAAAAGTACATCCAAGATAGTACAAATAATCGTAACTCGAATATGCTACGCGTTCCGAAGAACAAACAAAGACTAATTAAGGCCTGGATATATCAAGCTTTTAAACATATTCTGTACAAGAAATACTCTAATTGCTTCTTAATTACTGAATGGCTTAGAAGAAAGTATTTGAAAACCTATGAAACAAATGTACATTAATGCACATTTTATTATACTACTGCTACTAATAAACGATAAAACTTGATAAGGTACTATTAGAAACAAATATTGTATTATGTAAAATTATTAGCAAATTATATAAATTACTTAAAATTGTACGTGAGGACTTGTTGAGAAGTCCTGGTTTGTTTCGTTTATTTTAAAAGATAGATAATAGAGAACGCCATCGCTCACTGCATAAAACTGGCAAAGTCTTGGTGAAATTCCCAAAAGGTTAGCATTGCATATCTTCCCTGTACAGACTAGTCACTTTGAAACAAACTATAGTCATTTCTTGTATTTTTAATCTATCCGTATATAAGTTATAAGGATGGAATTCGTAGCGATAAAGCAGAAGTCTTTATATACTTATAGATAAAAACTGTTTTTTTATTTTATGTTTTTATGCTCATTTTTATTATTTTCATATTTTCTGTTTCAGGCTTCCTACAATTTCATCTCAAGTGCAATCACCCAGGTAAGTATTAATATTTTCGATGTAAAACATATTATTTAATAGTTATGTATAGCAATTAAGTTCCGACACTGATTTTTATTCGAAAAGCTGTATAGCAAGAATAATGAAAGAGTGCAACTATCGTATATGAGCGAAGATGCAGGTGTGCTTGTCCCTACACCTATTCCTGTAGCCTTTGTTTCACTCATGAGTCATAGGACGCTGGTTTTTTTCCTTGGAGCACAAGTGTTGTCCTTAGGAAAATAGGTTCACTTTGTAAACTTCTTTGAAGGACCACCCACAAAATAGGACAAATGAAAGTTTCGTAAAGAACGTATTAACAAGTATATTTACACAATTACCACAACGTATTTTGGACGCCGATAACTTGCTTACCATAGCTGATTTATGAAATGTAGTTTGAATTTATGTGCAAAAAACTAGATAATTTGTCGGTGATAGAATATTGACACGAATTGAGTAAACTTATTAATATACCGACTGTGTTAAACCTTCTGAGGTGCGGCTAGCGCAAACACTCCCTGAGAAGGGTATTTTTTAACTTTCGTTAATGTTGGAAGTTTTCGAATTACTCAAACTGATAATTTGGAAATCATTAATCACTTTTTTAAAAGCTTATGTCTTGAAAGTTATTTGAATGCAAGCTATCGGCGCCGTACAGATTATTAGATGGTAAAGATAGTGCAAACACTCCTGACCATGGAGCTGCGCGAAGGCGGAGTCAAATTCACGTAAAGGCAGAAAGGTTCTATTGTAAGTTGAATTATACAGTGCATAGTATAATGCGTTTCGTATGGAAGTGGGGACTAAACCAAATTTCGCCTACTGCGCCGTGGTCTAGAGTGCTTGCACTATCTCTACAAAAGAGTTTTATAAATTTATACTAACATACAGTGTGATTTAAAGATATGATACAAAATTACATAAAAATAATAAATATTGTTGTTACGCAAGAGTATTCCATTTGCTTTGGGCAAAAATTATTTAAAAAACTTTATCAATGATAAGTTTACAGAGTTTACTTTATAAAAATCACATTAAGTGTACAACGGATACATCGGTCATATTAATCGCATATGAAACAATACAATAACAACTTTAGAAACTATGCCGTCAATTCTCCTTGGTACATGTAAGTCATAGGTAAACACATTGACCAAACACATTTGTACGGTATTTATAACTGAGGCGCAAGAGTGGCCCAACTTAAAAAAATGATATTTGAGTTAATAACACCAAGCGTTAGTGTTTGTATTAATCTATTGTGTGCGATAGTGGCCCACGTCGATTTGATTAAAATACCGGTAAAGGAATGATCAAGGTCACTTTGGCGTATTATGATTTGTTGATAAACGATCGTGCAGTAATAGCCCAACGTTTATGAATGTCGATGTGTTTCAGTTTCTCGTGTGCACTAGTGGCCTATCTCTTAACCTTAAAATTATTATTTGATTTTTAACAGCTCGTGTATGCTTTAATTGTTAGTTTTTAGTTATTTCGAAGTTGTATTATGGATATTCCGTCCACATCAGGTAAATATTATTCATATCATTTTCTTAAGTAATTATTAAAAGTAGATATATTGGAATAATGTGTTAAAAAGTATATATTAATACACGACTGAATTATTGTAACTTATTATTATTGATGGGCCGTATGCAGATTCAGGTTCCAGTTACAATCCTTCTGATATGGAAGATTCATCAAGTGAAAAAAGTACAAGTATTTTATTATTATTTTAATCGTTTGCAAAAAACTAATATACTTTGTTTTAGGTAAAAATGAAAATGTATTGGTGACTGATGAGAATTTACAAAGAAATTTTCAGTCTAACGATATTGCGAATCCTAGAGAAATTCTAAGAAGTATGAAACGTGGTGCTCGCTGAAAATTTGCAGATAGTAGTCAATGGCAACGTAATATAAGATAAAAATTACGAAATAGTGGACGTGCGTATACAAACATTAAGGGTAATGTAGTTACTGCCAAACAGTTTGATGCATCAGACTGTTGTTTTAAATAATGCCATAAACTCTTTACTCTTTGCGTGAAACTATTTTTCAAGATTTTTATGAATTCGTCAATTATGATTTACAGACATCCTACTTATGTGGCCAAATCAAACTTACTTTAAAATTAACCAATACTGCTCAAAGTGACTCCTGAAAATACACAAGACAATAAGAGAAACAGGGCTAGATATTCCAGTTTGCAAGCAGTTTTTTAAAAAAGTCCTGCATCGTATTCTAATAAAATAAAACGCAATAATCAAAACTTGATCGGCTACTTATAAGCAATATAAAATAATAAACTGTTATACATACCAAAGCTAAATAGATCACTAATAAAAAGTATTAATAATTTTTCTTACCGAAAGTTTCGGAGTGGAATATTCATCGATCATCTGTTTTTCTTTAAGATGTTTATAAAGATTTTAAGGTATAATTTTTTAATATGCCTTCTGTTTCGTTGTTGCAACATTTTGATTTGTCTGTTTTTCTTTTGAATTAATTTGTTTACTGCTACTTTATATCTCTGCTCTCTGTTAGATGATCCTTTTTCAAAGTCACCAAGATAATGTCTTCGCTTTTTCAAGGGAGGTTCTAAGGTAGCTTCGTCTGAAATTTCTACTGAAGTCTTTTTTGTGGTATATTAACTCGTTGTTATATTTTGATTTTCTCTTTTACATCCTGTTGGTTTGACTGAGACAGATTCTCTTTTTACTAGAAATTTTCTAGTTGTAACTTGCTTAATTAAATGTTTGGAAAATCGAAAATGCTAGGTGCAGTATCTTTTTTTAGTTGTTTTTTTTTAACTCCAACCGCTAGTAATATACAAATCCGCTGTGAAATGTTTGGAGCAAATTTTAGAACTGTTTGTTGGATTAAAATTTTCACTGCGCATTGCTGTAATCAATTTTTTTTGTAATGAGGAATCTTTAGGAAATCTAAAACAATTTATTTACCTAATGGTACTTAGTTTTCAATCTAATTATAAAATGAAAATTATATATAAGACTCTATTTCTTATATGTATCTATTTTAAACACTTTGGGAGGGAAAAGTAAAATAATAGGTGCTAAATTTCTGGTATGTTTAAGTTTAATTTGTGAATTTACTTACCCATGATATGATATCTTCTTCCTTTTTTTTGTCGCAGCTTACAAATGTACTGCAAGATAACACCATAATTAAAATATTAATGTATTGAAATTTTTTTAAATTGGAACACTTAAAGTTTACAACGCCTATAAACACTTTTAATATCTCTCGTTTCTCCCATAAACTGACGTGACCCACAACTGTGTGAATCGTTTTATGTTGGCTTGACTCTTCAAACCGAGAGAATAACGTCTATCAGTTTTTATGGTCTAAGGGTCAAATGACCCTCGCAAAATGTCGCACTGAAAAAAAACAGTATTTTTGAAACCTGATATATGTTTTTTTGTTACACCTTTTCAGACTTGGCTTAAGAATTCGACAAATTTTCGTCAACTTAATTGTCCCCAGGGGGTAGCAATTAGTGCGAACCCGTGCAAACCCGGCAGAATACAGGTCTACTTCAGAAATAGCAAACCATGGGACGACCTATAAAATTCCAATATTTACCTTCTTTCCGTCCCCATCGTACCCAACAAGAATATGGAGAAAACTAGATGCAAAAAATTCGTCAGTTAATGTGGCTATTCGTTATATTCTTAAGCTATTGTGCTAAAAGATGAATGATTGCACATAATGCGGCACTAACGATGCTCTTGGGACACTGGGCGAAATCCCATTTAATATAATCAACGTTCCCTAGCTACTCGCGGTAATAAATATTAAAACTGACCAACATGCAAGGCAAGCACGGTGTTTAAATACCAAAAACCCGACTATTGTAAACCAACCCTACTTAAAGTGCGCTAAAAATATAAACCTCAACATCGCTACATAGAACGCTCTTTTTCGAGAAAAGATCCGAAGAAGTGAAGAAAGAACTTTTAAAAGTGAATTAGGGTATCAGCCTCAAGAGCCCTTAATTCTTATGGGTGACTTTAATGCACGAATCGGAAATGAAATAGATCCAGTAGTAAAATAAAGATTTAATGAAAACCCTGTCAACGCAAATAGAGAACTCATGGCTAATCTATGTGCTTTTAACGAACTCAGAATCAATAATACATTTATCGCCCATAAGCTCCAGTATAAATATACATTTAAAACTCCAGGGGGCATAACTCTTGGATAACAACAGATATCCAAGCTTTAAACTCAGCAGACGCAGTGAGTGAACACAAACTAGTACTAGAAAAGATAAGAATGAAAATAACACAAAAACAAAATTTTCTACAGGAAATCGTCAAGAAAAAATTCAAAGCCCAATCACTGTGGAACAACTCTAAGTTGTAAAATGCATAAACTAACAACTTTATAAGATGAACAACAAGGATTTAGATCCGGAAGATCCTGCGTAGACGCCGTATTTGAATTAAGACAAATCACAAAAAAGACCATCGAGTACAATAAACCGGCATACCTATGTTTTATAGACTGACAAAGGCTTTCGATCGAATCCAAGTTGAAGACGTCTTACACCTACTGTATAAAAGAAACATACCAATTAATATTGTAAAAACCATCAAAAACATCTACCTCCATAATCGAATACATGCAAAGATAAATGAAAAACTAACACAGGTTATACCAGTACAAAGCGGAGTCAGATAGGGTGACTCGTTGAACGCAGTTCTCTTTAATATAATAATGAACGAAATAATACAAGCAGTACGTAAAAGTCATGGCTACAGAATGGAAAACAAAGAAATCCAAATATTATGTTATGCAGACGACGCCGCATTAATCGCCGAGACAGACGACGAGCTCTAAAGATTAACACATATCTTCAATATAACAGCCAAGAAATACAATATGAAAATAACAGCAGAAAAAACCAAATGTATGACAACATCTAAATACCCACTACGGTGTAAATTAAAATTGATGGGAAAATAATAAAGCATGAAGCAAGGCTTAGATATCTGGGAATAGATATAACTAGTTACGGAGATGTTGAAAAAGAAGTACGACAACAAAGCTTAAAAGCAAGTAAAGCGGCAGCTTTTCTTAATGACACAATCTGGAAGAATAAATACCTAAGAGAAGACACAAAAGCAAGAATCTATAAAGCAGCAATTAGACCTATATTAACATACACGGCGAAGACAAGACCTGACAAATCTAAAACGAGACGACTGCAAGAAACATCAGAGATGAAAATACTCCGACGAATATCAGGAAGAAGTCTGTTGGATAGGGAGAGAAGCGAAAACATAAGAAGAGCATACAATATAGAAGACATAAATGGATGGGTGACAAAACGAAAACAGGAGTGCAACGAACACTTCAGTAAAATGGCATAGGATAGGTTAGTACGAATAGCATGAGATAAGTCACCAAATGGATAAAGAAGTATTGGCAGATCAAAAAAAAGATGGTGCGACAATTTAAACAATTTAGTAGGCTAATATTGAAGAATAAATAGGCTTTTACTAGAGGAAAGAAGAAGAAGAAGAAGGGTATCAGCGAAGTAAGAAAAAATGGAGAGAGTCTTGCAATTTGAACGCCATAAGAGGCATTACGGAAGTTCTCTCTGAAACAATATTGGCAAATTTTGGAAGCGATGGCAGAAATAATAAAGATAGACAACTGTTAACTTTCGTTTTGTAAAACCATCTTTATCAAATGAACAGCTTTTAAAAATAAAAACCACAGAAAATGGACATAAGAAAGCTCTGATCGAAATACAAGAAACGAAATCGACTGTTTCTTGACAAACAAAAAATAATTATGCAAAGAAGTAAATGTGTTAAACCAGTTTATTACAAGCATTTATCATCGGTTATTAAGAGCGAAAATAACGATATCGTCCGAAGAAGAAATACTCAAAATTATAAATCAGAAACAACCAAACAAATGGATAAAACCGTCTAATATTCAGGAGTTTGAAAAATGTATTGATAATTCATTGAAAGGCACATCAACAACAGATATCAATAAATTAAACAAACAAATAGTCAACCAAATGCAACAGGTTCAAAATAAATATTGCCCAATAACAAAAAGGATGAAAAACAAAGTCAACTTACGAAAGCTCTTATAGATCAAAGGCAATGGATGAAAGAAAATAACAGTATAAACAAAGAATTTCTAAATAAAATAAATAAGATGATCAAAAACGCAATACAAAAAGACATAAGAAACTATAAAATAGAAAAAACTAAACAGGCACTAGAGCAAAATAAGAACAAGGAAGTTTTGAGAGACTACACAGAACTTCTCAACCATTGTTTTGGTTGAGAAGTTCTGTTCTTGTTTCAACCATAGAAAACACAAATAATCTTTCATATTACAGTTGGGACAAACAATAACATCAAAAATAACATAACCCAACTAAATTTGATTTTTTAAACAAGGAAAGAGACTCTCTTTCCTTGTTTAATGTGGCCTCTCAAGATGACAGTTCCTGTCTACCAATATTTTTGCCCCCACTACCTTCACATTCCCTCTTTTGTCTTTTTGCTCGATGGCTATAACCAAGTCACTAAAATCAAGAGAGGAGATAACAAAAATAGGAGCACCTCTAAAGCTAGTCGAACTAATTTGAAATAAATCGTGCCCATTTAAAATTATTCCAACTAACTATATTTTTCAAAAGTAATTATAAAAAGTTCTAATACTAAAAATATTGCTAAAATACTACTATTTCCTTAAATAATTTTTTGCGTATCCTATCAGTTATTTTTATAGGATTCTTTAGAGTAAGATTTATTTGAATAATCAAGGTAAATAAATCCAAAACTTTTCATTCGTTATCTTAATAATGTAAATCTTAATAGTGTTTTGACATTTTATTTTTTAAATAAAATAGGCGTTTTCATGTAATAAGATTCTCAGGAAGTAATCTTTTATTCTTTTAAACATGTTTAATAATCTTCTGTAAAATTTAAGTATGTTAATAAATTTCGTTTTGTAATAAAACTGAGTTATCTGGATGTTAGCTTAGACCTTCAAAACCGTCGAAAGTGGTTTAGTTTTAGGTGGAATTAGTTGCTATAAAAACGCTCCATTTTTTTAAATGGTATCAGTTTCTTGGTACCTTACAATCGCCTAAGACAATATGGCTTTTAAAGTAAGTAAAAAATTGTATATTTAGTATTATTAAATATACTTAACCTTTATAAATATTATCTACTTAATTATTCGCATAGCATTGTCTTTGTTTTAATTAATATCGCGTAGTTTTTTTAAACAATTTTCATAAAATTAATATAGTAAGTGGTTTAAATTTGAAAATTTTCTTATTTTCACATCATACTTTTTTCCTATACTTCCTTTTTTCCTTTTTCTATACCCAGTTTTTTAAATGTTCTCTTTGTAGATGTTTTTTTAAAATCTCTGTTTTTTTTTCTTTCAAATTTCTTTTTAGAAATTAATCATAAATTTAGTAGTATGTTACCTAATTAGACATTGTTATGGCTTTAAAATATCGTTAGATATTTAAAAAATAATCTTCACTACAATGTGGATTCATGCGTATTTTTCGTAAGATATTTTTCTGTTTTCGTATATTTTTTTTGCTATTCTGGTGGACATTAAAACGTCCGTAAAAGAATTATTTTTATTTATTTTTAATTTTCAAGTAAAATTTTCCTTGATAATACGGTCTGCAAAATTAAGATTCTTAAATCTTACTGATGTTTATTTATTAATTATTTAGTATGCTAAATAACCGTTATAAATATTGTTGAACTTTTAGAATTGCTAATCAAATCATTTATTTTCCAATTATCATTCAAGGTATTGTTTATAATTCATCATCGTTATACGTCTTTTAACTCCTCAAACTTTATAACCATTGCCATTTTACCGTACCAATTTTTTTATCATCCATAATTTCTAGTTTAAGTTATTTGACGTACCTGTACATGTTCTTTACCCAAGCTATAACATAATATTTTATCATGGATAATTTTTCTGTTGTATATATTTTTTATATATGGGTGTCATGAATTTTCCGCCTCATAAATTTTTGTAATTGTTAAATATTTCATATTTGTACCACCTTCTTTAGATACCAATATTTTTTGTATGCCACTAAACTGCACCTAGCATCGTTTGTTTAAAAACGAGCCTTTGCTTCTAAGGCTTATTGGAATGTGTATGTTGTCTAAGTAGTTAAGTTGACACCTTCTCTAGACTGTTTTAAAATGGCAGTCAAATATTTTTATTACTTTAGGCCTTATAGCTGGTATCGGTATTTTATTTTTACCTTTTGGATCTATTCATAACATCATTCCTTTCTTCCTTATACCCTGTCATTCCCTAATTTAAAACAATATTTTTTTACATTTTTTTTTATTTCTGTTAGTATTTCAAATTTTTTGTTTAAGAAAAGAAACTAGCATTACTATATTCAAATATATTTTACTCTTCTGTAATTTATTAGATTTCAAATTTAAAATTCTGTTTTTTGTATTCTCAAATTATTTAATAAGCTATATGTATATTGTAGATTATATCGTTATTTTAACCCATACATTGTTTAAATAAAGGCAATGTTCGAATATAAAAAAATGCGTAATATTAAAATTAATATTATGTTTTTAGGTAATCATCTTTGCTTCATTTTTGGCTTTCGCCAACGCCGGTAGCTGGGACAGTACATTAGCAGTTCCCGCCTCTCCAGTAGTATCAGCGTACCACTCGGCTCCAGTATTGGCTGCCCCTGCTGTATCCAAATCGATTGTTCAAACCTACACCAGTCACCCAGCGCCTGTAGCTGTTGCTGCTCCAGTTTTAGCCAAATCAGTAGCTCCAGTAGTCTCCGCCTACTCTTCCCCATTGGCTTTACCTGCTCATGGTCCTGTTGTATCGGCGTACTCAGCTCCATTGTCTCTACCATCCCATGGCCCTGTTGTATCGGCGTACTCGGCTCCATTGTCTCTACCAGCCCATGGACCTGTTGTATCAGCGTACTCAGCTCCATTAGTAGCTAAAAGCCCTCTTTCATATGCTGCACATGCACCAGTTGTCTCTGCTTACTCTTCCCCACTGATCTCAGGCTACTCTGCACCAGTTGTAGCCAAGAGTTTGTCTACTTTAGCTTATGCCGCACCTTCTCCAGTTGTATCTGCCTACTCTTCTCCAGTTGTATCTGCCTACTCGTCTCCAGTTGTATCTGCTTACTCTTCACCAGTCTTAGCTAAGAGTTTGGCTCCAGCACCAGTTGCCTATGCCGGGCACGCTGCTCCAGTTCTATCCGCTTACTCTGCTGGACCAGTTGTTCAACCATGGTAATTAAATGTGATAAAAATCCTTAAATTATTTATTTATGAATAAATAAACGTTAATAAAATACAAAATTTGTTTTTATTATTTATGCAGTATGTTAAATACAACATATAAAAATAAAATTAGATTATTTAGATATTTCAATAATCGATATTTTTATACGGTATTACGTCATAATTGATTGTAATAAGAATTACATTTTACATTTGCTTTGATATTTGGATTTTCAATCCGAAAGTCATTTACAAATAATTCTGAAATAAAAATTATAAATGATCTTAACCTATAAATTCTGATAATTGACCGTGGGTTGTAATACCAATTTTACAGTTGACCTATTTTAATTCAAAAATTCTCAGAGGTGTTGTTGTATCCTGGGATTAATATCAAATTTTGATGTTTCTGTGCTGTCTATAGTTAATTTTGGATGATGTATTTCTCAACTCTTATTAACTGGTTTGTGATGGTATGTTCTTATTCTTGACTTTTTCTTTAAGTTTTAATAGCAAAATCTTGCTGCTTTATATTAAGGAGTTTGGTATGCGTTTTTATTCATTAAGTAGAATGATTGTTTGATTTTCTTTTGGTCTGTATTATTTTATGACTAGTAATGTATTTTTGCACCAGATTATTTGTTAATTGTCCCAAACATGGTTGCACATCTAAGATATGTCAAAATCCCTGTTTTTAATGTATGATTTATGTCCATTTATTCTAGTACTTACTAATTTTCTAGGTCCTCTAGTTTTATATAGTGTCTAAACTCTCTGCTATGCTAGAAGAGTTACCAGTTTTAGATGAAGACAATGCTAGTAGTATTAAATTTTTGATTTTAAAATGGCATTAGCAAAATGCTGCTAAGTTGCTTGAGTTCCGACCCAAGAAAAAAGTTTATTACCATCTAAAGTGTTTTCCTTGTTTCTGATATGAATTTACGTAATATCGTCTCTTTGTCGAAGAGCAGCTTAAAAACAATTTTACTCATTAAAGGTGGTTTCTAGGTCTAAATTCTAGCTGAAAATTTTGTTTTCGAAAACGATACCCATGAGAACTTAGCAAGGATTCTTTAAAATCTCAAACATTACGACCACGGTGGCAAATTTGCTACGGTTTAAAGATCCTGTGTATTCTGTTTGAACAACCAGCTTGTTATACCCAACTTTGTTTGTTTTTTCCATGTGACAGTCGAAATTGAAAAAAGCACTAATCAATGCAGACTTAGAGCCAAGGATTAGACAAAACAATGTTCTTCAAGACAATTTAATAGGCCCAAAAAACATTACCCTTCCCCTTTCATACATAGTTGGGCTTTATGAAAAAGTTTGTCACAGATCTTTCAAAAGACAAAAAAGTATCAAATACTTAGTTATAAAGTTTTCAAGTCTTTCTGAAGCAAAATTAAAGAAAGGTATAATTATAACCCAAATATAGAAGACTTTTAGCGAATCGGGAGTTTGCTAGTACCATGACAGATCTCCTGAGAAAAGGATGGTTCGTATTTAACGATGTTGCGAAGAAATATCTAGACGACATTAAAGATCTACAAAAATAATTGTGAAAATTACCGAGAAATAACTCTAAACGGATCTATGAGTCGAATGGAAAGGTGTCGGAAAGGTGTTAAAGAACCGAATCAAGAGAAAATACTTAGATTATTAGTATTAAAAGTAGAAGAACAAGGAGTATTTCGTACGGGTCTTTTCTCCTTAATCCAGATAATAGAAAAAAAAATGGCAGGGAGTCAAGAGATTTACATGTTGTTCGTCGACTTACGGAAAGCCTACGACAGCGTTCCAGTGAAGAGCTGTAGCAATCAATGGAAAGCACGAATATTAATATAGAATTAATAAACGCCGTCACATTGCTATACAACCAACCAATAACAAAGATAAAAGCAGGGACATAAATAACAACAGGATTTATAACATCAAAAGAATTAAAGCAAGGATGTTGCTTGTGCCCCACTTTATTTAAAATATAGCTAGAAAGTGCTTTAAAAAGATGGAAAAAAATTCAGGATAATGGGGATACCGCTCACCAACACTATGGCATATACGCCCATCTCTATAGTATATTTATTATAATTCTCTAAAACTAATTTTTTGGTCATTTTTTAGCCTTAATAGCAATATACATAAATAAGTAAGTAAATAAGTAATATGCTTAATTGTCACTGAAAATTGTACAAATTTTATGAACAAAGCTTATAACAATAAGACAAGAAAGAAGAAAATAATTCAGAATAAGAATCGTTTGTACTTTTAAATAAAAAAAACAATAAAATTCTTTCAAACTTAAACATAAAAAATACTACCTAATTAAGAACCTACAAACTTCGTAAAATGTACCTAACAAAAACTAAAAATTAGGAAAACAGATTAATGAATTAAGGGCTCAAATATTCCACTTCCTTGTGCTAAACAGTAACCAAATCTGTCATACAGATTTCTTCCCATATTTTGGAGTAGTACTTGCAGAGAAATGAAGTATTTTTGCCCTTAATTCGACTAGGTTTGTGAAACGTTTGATTGATGAAGTCAATAGTTGCTCTAGAGTTGTGAGCCGAACACCCATCCTGTTGGAAATACACCTCCTGAAAATTAACGGGAAGGCATTTAACTGCCGGAATGATCCTATTCTGTAAAAGTTGTAAATATTTGGGCCCGTTTAGGTTTCCATCGATTAAAAATAGACCGACAATATGATCGCCCAACATCCCAGTCCAAACATTTAACTTTTGCGGATGCTGCGTTCGCATTGCAACACTGAGGTGAATATTTTACCGAGGATAGTACCTTGCAACGGATGGATGGTATTTTTTATGTATTGAAAATAAAGATTCGTCAAAAATTTTTTTTAAAATAAACATTTTTATTCTGTTTATCTAACATAAATTCACCAAACTCCATCCGCCTAAAGTTATCTTCGGGAAACAGTTCTTGTGTTGGTTGTATCTTAAATCAGTGATACCCATTCCTTTTGAGAACTCGCTGCACAGTTCGAGCATTCACGTTAACTTCCCGAGCAATTTGTACACTATTGCAGGATTCAGTAGCTTCCATAAAAGGACAAATACCAATATCCCTGTTTTGACACTCCTCATCGACAGGTCTAACACGTGGTTCACTACCTTAATGACACTTTATACAACTGTTTACACATCTCAAAGTTTAAAAATGTTTAATGGTATTTTTAACTGTTGTAACACTCGGTGAGGGTCTATTTTCGAAGGCAACAATAAAAAAATAAATTACTTCGCATATAAAATGACACTGAAAGAACCATGTTACAAGTTTTTCACTTTTTCTTGGACGGTATACAATGTAATACGGTATACACTGAAACCCTGAGAACAAACAAAGAAGACATAGCAGAGACATGGAGATCGTATTACAGGGACCTACATAAAGATGATCAACGCCAAGAGCTTGTTAGTCAAATCTCTGACGAGGTGGAAGAAGAACCTGATATACTCGAAAATGAAGTAATACAGGCTATCAACAAGCTCAAATATAACAAAGCACCAGGTCCAGATGTGTTACTTCATCTACTCTGTAACCAAATATGGCATTCCAAACAATGGCCTGAAGACTGGACAAAATCTACAATAACGACCATACATAAAAAAGGCAGCTTCCATAAATGCGACAATTATAGAACTATCTCTCTTATATCCCATGCCAGCATGATAATGCTACATATAATCAATTTGAAACTGAAAACATTCCTTCAAAGAGAAATTCCACAAGAGCAAACTGGATTTACCAAAGGTAGAGGCACTCGAGAACACCTGCTGAATATAAGACAGATAATCGAGAAATCTAGGGAATTCAACATCCCATTATACATCTGTTTTATAGATTACCGTAAAGCGTTCGACAGGGTCAAGTGGAGACACTTATGGCGAATACTTAAAGAAGTAGGCGTACCACAACATCTAATTACGCTTATAACTGAACTATATGAACACACTACTGGATTAGTTAAAATACTTGACACACTTTCGAACGAGTTTCATCCAGAACGGTTTGTCAGACAAGGATGTATACTATCTCCACAATTATTCAACATATATGGGGAGTATATTATGCGAAGATTACTTGAAGGATGGGAAAAGGGCATCTCAATAAATGGTCTTAAACTAAACAACCTACGTTTCGCAGATGACACAGCCCTTCTTGCAAATAGTCAAGAAGAGCTGATGGAACTTATACGACTGATCGAAAACGAAAGTCAAATATTTGGTCTGCAATTAAACATATCAAAGACAAAGATCATGGTACTCGATAGACTACACAACAATCATCCACACATAACCACAATTGACCGGTTCGAGGTTGTGAGCTTATACTTATATCTGGGATTATTAATTACAAACACAGGGTCATTACAAGAAGAGATTAAACGTAAATGTGATCTAGCACAAGTTGCCATAGCAAAAATGACCAAAATATGGAAGGATTGTCAAATTTTAAGAGCGATAAAGATGAGGCTGATCAACTGCTTAATATTCCCAATACTGACCTACGGATGTAAATCTTGGACTCTGATACAATCGGAGAGAAGAAAGGTAGACGCCACTGAAATGTTCTATTGCAGACGAATGTTACGAATTTCTTGGACCGACCGTAGAACAAATAATTTAATTTTAAGAGAGCTAAAAGTTAGCCAACGACTCTCTAGTAAAGTCCATCTCCAACAATTAAAATATTTTGGGCATGTTATGAGAGCAAACACAGAAAACATGGAAAGACTCAAATTACAAGGAAAGGTAGAAGGCCGAAGATCACGAGGAAGATCCCCAACAAGATGGATATATCAAATTACAGGAATATGCCAAAGACCTATGCATGAATTAAAAGAAATGACCAGGGACAGAGATCTCTGAAGACGGACAATACACGACATCACGTCGACCACTACACTCCCCCTTAGGGGTCAGGATTAAAGAGAGAGATTCTGGAATATTAGTTACTAGTGAGATTATTACATAATTACCAGGTAATGTTGTACCTCTGATCTTATTCAAATCTCTAACAATAAAATTGGTCATATCTTCACAGGCATTTTATAAAATGTTAAACCAAGTTTGGATAATTTATAAGTAACAGAGTTTGTGGAACTAGTTATAGGACGTAGAGGAACATTTTCTTTATGGATTTTTGGTAGACAGTATAGTTTTAGAAAAGAATAATTTTATATAGTAAGTTCTTTTGCCTGTTGATCAGTAGCTGTTTTTCGGATTTTAATCGCTGTATTACCTTTTTTTATAACCACCAAAAAACCAGAAATACAGTGCCTTCCCTGCTATGAAAAATTGAATACTTAATATATGTGACGACCAATTTCTATATAATATTCAGAGCAAATTACTTGAGTTATTTATTAACAATGATTATCTAAAGACACTCCTTAAACAATTAATTTAAAACTCCCACTATTATGATGGATCATTGGATAAAGATGATCCACAAAACTTTACATATAAAAGATTGCTTATCGCTGATAAACATATAAGATTACTGCCCTCTTCAAACCGTACAATAACATCAGAATTGGTAAATACAGTGGTATTAGCAATAAACGTCTATTTTCTGGTGTAATATATATGTATAAGATAGCAGTAATGTACACTATCAATACCATCTATAAAATACCGTGTTTAGGCTGCGAAAGCTGCTATATTAAACAGACAAGCCAGTGTTTAAAACAATGTATTACCCAGCACAAAAGTGACTGCCACAAAGGTAAAACCACATGCGCTGCTGTTAAAATCCTACATACGGCAACTAATTACAAAAACAGGCTGTTTCTGGAAATATATTATATAACACAAAAATGTAATAAATTACAAACAGATACGAATCGGCTAAGCAGCATCAACATCAAAAGTGTAAAACAAATGTTTGTCTTGTCTTTTTTTTATTTCAAATTTTGTATATATGTCTTGTATTTCAAAAGTATTCAACTAGTGAAGTCAGAGGTTCAATCGGTCATTCAGGTTTGCAAATGGAAAAAAATCAACTACTTCATTAGTTTATCGAATAATTTTCGCTTTATATTTCTAAAGCTTTATCAGTTCTAACTCAATATATAGTATATTGTTGATGTTATATATCGTCGCCTCAAAGCAACAGTAGGATATGTAAAAAAATGACTTCATATTCATCAAAGTGATATTCATGTCAAATGATTCGAAATAAACCCTTCTGTTCAGTATAACACTAGAAAAAATAAAAAGTGATATACTTTTTTCATAATATTACATATCCTTGTGTAGCTTAATTCCTTTTAGCCCAAATTTTATAATGCAACACTATTGGTACATAGGATAACATCTTTGGTACGTCTTCTTCTTCTTCTCGTGCCACTCCTAGCGGAGATTGGAAATCATCATGGCCACTGCGACTTTGTTAGCAGCGCGCCTGAAAAGTTCAATCGAACTACATCCGAACCATTCACGTAGATTACGAAGCCACGATATTTTTCTTCTTCCCACACTTCTTTTGCCCTTACTTTTGCCCTGCATGATTTTTCTTAAAAGTTCGTACTTTTCACCTCTCACAATGTGTCCCAAGTATTCCATCTTTCTAGTTTTTATCTCATTTAGAATTTCGCATCTTTTGTCTAAAGTTTGGAGTACTTGCGTGTTAGTGACGCGGTCCATCCATGATATTCTGAGAATGCGCCTATAGCACCACATCTCGAAAGCTTCGATGTTTTTTATGGTCAACTGTTTTAGTGTCCAAGCCTCAACTCCATATAACAGGGTAGAAAAGACATAACACCGCAGCATTCGTATTCGTAACTTTATATTGATATCACAATTGCAAAAGAGTTTGCGCATTCTATTAAAGACTGATCTAGCGATTTCTATTCTACATCTAATCTCTTTTGTTTGATCAGTATCGTCTGTGATCCAAGCACCTAGATATTTATAACAGGGCACACGCTCAATCGTTGTATTGTCTATTACAAGATTAGCTCTGATGTTCTTTGATTTCGTGATTACCATAAATTTAGTTTGGTACGTACCTCAACCTAAAGCAAGCGTTTATAAGATATGTTAGTTTCATAATAGCTTTCCTTGGAAGTTGCTTTAACACTTCCCCAGTAATTAGATCAAATCCAGGAGCTTTCTTTGGATTTATATTTCCTTTTATTTCCGAATATACTTCTTTTGGAGTTACAAGGCTAATCTCAATTTCGTCTTAATCGGGGAGCTCCCAGTTTATTATTTCTTGTTCTTCATTTGGTTGAAAAGTATTTTCTAGGTGGACAGCAAATTGTTGGCCTTTTTAATATTGCTTCTTGTCCAGCTACCATTAGTATTTCTAATTGGTGGATACTGTAAGATTTCTAATTGGTAGATACTGTAAGATCTTCTTGTAATTTTAAACAGATCTCAATCCTATTAGTAGTACAACTTATTTTAAATAAATTCTTACTAGACAATGGCCGGCGTCAGATTAAAAAAACTTATCTTTAATTTTTTTCTTTTCCTTTCTTTGGTGGTCTTTTGTATGAAAAAGTATTGGTTCGTGTAGAAATTACAACGCAATTTTGCGGCTTTTCTAGAGTTTTCTTGATAGTTTTCCGAAAATTTAATAGTTCTAGCAGTGAGAAGTTGAGCAATTATCACCTATCGTGTGGATTTGTTTTGTAAAACTAAAAGAAACTCGATTTTATAAACTGATTTCGTATTAGAAACACTTTAAGGCCACATTTGAACAAAGGCCTTTTATTTTACTCTGTGATTTAATCTCAAACCATATTGATCATCTTTTCAACTTATATTTATAATCTCGTGACTCCTTAAGGGATTGGCTATCAGTTTTCCATATTAGTTAAGATCGGATGATATCCAATTGTCCATAAGAGAGAAAGAACCTGAAACATCGAAATATTAAAGGAAATAATAATAATAAATATTAAGTACTCACCTGGGATCGAGTCTCCAGAACTCAAGAAGATAGACTTTCTAACAGCTAAGTGGAAATTTATTCTTAATTTTGGTAGAATCGAACATTACACTAAATCTCTCAATTTTCTTAGTACGACACTGTAATTAGAACCCCACTGCAGTGGTTATAATAAGAACTTGTTAATTAACCTTTTCACTTTATTGTTCAACTATTGATTTTAAATTGATTTTGAAAAAGACATCTTTAATAAAGACAAAAGTAACAATCGAAGAATATATTGATTTACTGATAATCATTCTTCTACCCACTTCCCTGAGGGCTCTCCGAAAGAGCGTTTACAATCCTATAGCATTAGGTAGATGTTAACCTATTCGTTTTTAATTTTTGAATTTCTCTTTTTGATTTTTGTGTGGCATTATTTAATCTAGTTTTATCAACTGGTGCTCTAGACTGATGCCACTTGCGTCTTAGTTTTCTTTTTTCGGATATCATTTCTCTGATTTCTTTCGGGTAGTTATTTCCTTTTATTCTTTCGACACGGTTCGTGCTGTTGGTCCAAGAAGCTTGTTGTACATTTTTCTTGAGTAATTCTACTTCTGCTTCTAGTTGATCAATGGTTCTTAATGGAACTGAGAAGTTAATCTTGTCTTCAAGGTCGATATGGAAACTTTTACAGTCAGTATTTTTGTTAACAAGTCTAGGGGGGCTTTCTTTTTTGATAACAGTGTCACTGAGTGTGAGAATAATTTGAGAATGGTCCGAGTTCATATCCAATGCCTCCTCTATCTCTATGTACTTTGTAGAAATATTTCTGACTACAAAGAAATCGATAAGGTCTGAGATTTTATTTGTGTCAGTAGGCCAGTATGTTGGCTTTCCCGTTGATACTGCGTCGCATTTTATGTATTTCATTGCTTCTAAAAATTCTTTCCCTTTGGTTGTAGTCAGCTGTGACCCCAATGCGTATGTTTTGCATTAAAGTCTCCTCCAAGGATAAATCTATGTCCTTGACTTGTTAGGAAATATACATATTGATTTTTCTTGATGGCATGTCTTGGCGGACTGTAAACTGCTGTGACGATTACCTCATAATTTTTACATTTAATTTTTACTGATGTGGCCTGAAATTCTTTTGTCCTGTATCCAATTTCCTGATAGTGCATAATATTTTCCTTGATTATTACTGCACTACCTCCTTTGGCTGCATTATCAGAGTGAGTAGTATGATAAGTTTTGTAACCCCTAAATCTAATATATGACTCATTCGTAAAATGAGTTTCAGAAATGAGACATGTCTATTTTTTCTATATCTAGTATCGCTTGTAGTTCTTGCTGATGTTTCAAGATACCGTTTGCATTCCATGCTACTATTCCTAAAATACCCGCCATTACCAAGTCTTTTAGGTATAGCTCCTTTGGTGATATATTCTATTCTGGTTATACGCTCGTCCAGGTTAGTTATTCTCTATAATATTTTTTGTAGTTTTTGTTCTATTTTCAGATCTTTTTGACTACTATAGTTTTTTTCGTTACTTTTACCAGCTGCTACCATGCTATAAATTCTTGTTTTGTTTTCTTCTTGTTTTGGATTTTCTACAGGTTTTGGATAATTTTTTTTGCTTTGCTGGGTATGGTCTGTTTCTTGTTATATTTACCTTTTATTTTTTGTATTTCCTTTGCCACGATACATCCTCTATAGTTAGCCGGATGCCCTTCTCTACAGTGGACACATTTAGGTTTTGCGTCCTTGGGTTTCTCACATTTGGCTGTTAGGTGCTTTCCTGTGCAGCGGACACATCTTGGTTTTTTCGCACAGTAACCTTGTGTGTGTCCATATGCCTGACATCTCTTACATTGAGGTACCAATTTTGATTTTCTTAGCGGAAGTATTTGTGCTTATATGCTCATGATATCTGAGATCTCATAGATTCTATTGATATTTTCGTCATTTCTGAATACCAGCATAAACATATTTAGTGTTTGCTTTGTTTTGTATTTTAATTTTGGTATGACATCTATTATCTTAAATTCTTTATTACTTAATTCGTTCATGATCGAATCCTTACTGGCTGAATGATGTAACTTATACTTGTAATTTTTAACTTGTAATTTTCTGAAGTCTTCTTGACTATCGACATTAATTTTAGCGCTCTTGTCTCCAAGTACTTTTATCTGGAATTTAGCAGTATGTAATCTGACTAATTCATGAAATTGGCTAAATTCGGCAATACTCTCCACAATTATTGGAGGTGGGATTTGTGTTTTTCTAGTTTTTTCTTCTCTTTGTTTGATATATTACTCTTTTCGTGGTGGGGTCAATGATGTATCCATTTTACGTTTTTTGAAGTGTCTCCTTAGCTAATTCCTCATCGTCAGTATAAAATCCTCATTCTTAGGTTCTTTCTCTTTGGACAAGGTTTTCTCTAGATATGCAAATTTTAATTGCAAGCTTTCATTTAATTTTTGTAAGCTATCTAACTGGAGTTGGAGCTGATTTGCTCTATCCGTAGCGTGAATATTTTCCATTTCCGTCTGTTTCCATGCCGTATACAGCATTTGTTCATTCTGGGACCTAGCACAATTTTCCTGGAAGAGTGTACTATTTTGTTGTATTAACAGTACCTCGTTAGGTCTTTGCGGACCCGCATTTTGTTGGATCATTTTAGCGGGAACCAACAATCCTGGCAGTCACTAGGGGCCCTTCATTATTTCTAACCAACCGCCTGGACTATAAACAATTTAAAAGTAATTTGGATTATCTTACCAGTTTTTTTTCCATTCTGTTTGAGAAAGTATGCGCGCATTCATTTCATATTTTTACAGTTAATATTTTTTCTGTTACGGTACTATGACCTAATTTGGGTGCTGTATTTCAAAGATCTGTTTAAAATATATTATTTCCTGTGAGTTCGTAAAACTTAAACTGGCTCTCATTTATCATGTTAAAGTATGCAAAATTGGGCTTTTCTCTTTGTATTCTATGTCAGAAAGATTGAAACACATGGTTGATTTATGGCATGCCCGGCCTACGAGCTGTCGACCACCCCAGAGTTAGAGGCTGGTTTGTGCCCGAAACGCTCTTAAACCCTCAAGATTCTCACATTTCTCACTTCTTCGTCAGACAACGATCGATCGACACGCATCTAGTTCCGGACGGTTCTCGTGCTAAGCCTCGGGACGGCGACGCTAGCGTCGGTACCACCGACCGACTCTTCAGCCTGGTACGAACTCATCAGTAGAACCAAAGGGTAAGCCTTATAATTCTTTGTACAAAACATTGACAATGAGTAAACCAGTTGATTTCATAACTTATTCATAATTTATAGTTGCTATTTTCACCAATTTTATGTATCAACAATATCACATTTTTTCGTTATAATTATTTATTCAATATAATTTAAACCAGCGACTTCTCAAGTTTAATTACTAAACACATTCAAATATAAAAAAGTTATTAATTAGGTACTGAAGTTTCGTAATATTTTCAAATGCATTTTTCTCGAAACTACATTATTTTACATATCCTACTGTTGGTTTGAGGCGACGATATGTACTGTAAAATTTACTCAACATTTAAAACTAACTTAACAAAAAAAAAATAAAAAACACAAACTCTGCAGATAATAATATTCATATTCGAAGATACGATCGAAGATATATATCTCACATTTTTATGTTTATATTTTTATTATCTATTTAATCACGAATAATTAATCAACTCATAACCTGCACAATAAAACGACTGTTTTACAAAAATAGCATCGAAAGGATATAATTAGCTATTCTTCAAAAACATGTTTAAAAATTTTGTGTAGATTTTAAGTACGTAATAAATTATGTTTTGTAATAAAACTGAATGATCTGGATGGTAGCCTAGACCTTCGATAAAATCGAAAGTGGTTCAATATGAAGTGGAATTAAGTTGTATAAAAACGCATCGGTTTTTTTGAACAGTATCATTTTCTTAAACACCTTACAAACAACAATACTGTCTACAGTACAATGGCTTTGAAAGTAAGTAAAACAATTTTACATTTATATTGTCATATATATATATATATATATATATATATATATATATATATATATATATATACATATGTATATATATATATATATATATATATATACATATGTATAAAGTCTTAGTAGCTTTTGCTTTTAAATTATCAAAATCTTTTTTTTTAAGATAAAGAAATATCTCCTGTTTTTTTAAATATTACAATATTTAAATTAATGCTTTTGTCATCAAAAATATTATCATTTATTAACTTAATTTTTTATTCCCTTATCAATTTTTGAACATAACATTTTGTACATGTTGTACAGTCTGAACATAACATTTTGTAAAAAAAATATGCTTTACATTTCTGTTTGGTTCTTATTTGAACATTGCGCTTCAACTGAATTGGCTATCGTGGGGACAATTCACACTATATCTACTGTTTTTCTGTGTGGCACCAAGAACTTGATATAAAAATACGTTAACCAAAAAAAATATTCTTCAAAAATTTATCTCTAGTTTCTTCTTTTTTTTCTTCAATGTTCATTTTTAAAATTTTGCAATTAACATTTCTTAAGATATCTATCTATCAATATAAGTAAACTATATAGTAAACTAAAATATATTTTCTTAACATGGGTTTAAAAGTTTTTTTTTTTATTTAAAATGTCTTCATCCTTTTGGACATATTTAATTTTTTTACTCTTCGTATCAGATAAATCTTTCTGCTTTATAATATGTCATCTATTTTTAAAACTTTTTATTTAATTTGTCCATTAATTCTTTTAAACTATTAGCAGTCATTGTTTTCAAAAAGAAAGAATCACTGTTAGCAATAATTAATAAAAATAAGTCGGATCTTTTTAGGAGTTCCAAGGAAAATTCTAGCCCTAAAAACAAATTAGTATATTGACATAAACATCTTACATTGTAATGTATGTTTGTGGTTATTTTTCTTAACCATTTACCAACCGTAGTTGGTTAAAGGGACTATAAAAAACAATTTGACTAACAAATACATTTTCTACATTTAATTAAAGAATAGAATATACAATAAATGTTTTTTTTAGGTAATTATCTTTGCATCATTTTTGGCTTTCGCCAAAGCTGGTAGCTGGGACAGTACATTAGCACTTCCTGCGGCTCCAGTAGTATCAGCTTACCAGTCAGCTCCAGTATTGGCTGCTCCTGCTGTTTCCAAATCGTATGTTCAAACCTACACCAGCCACCCAGCACCTGTAGCCCTTGCTGCTCCAGTTGTCGCCAAATCAGTAGCTCCAGTAGTATCTGCTTACTCCGCTCCATTGGCTCTACCAGCTCACGGACCTGTTGTGTCTGCCTACTCTGCCCCATTATCTCTACCAAGTCACGGACCTGTTGTGTCTGCCTACTCTGCACCATTATCTCTACCAGCACATGGACCTATTGTATCAGCCTACTCATCTCCATTGGTAGCTAAAAGCGTAGCTCCACTTTCGTACGCCGCTCATTCACCAGTTGTGTCCGCTTACTCTTCTCCAGTTGTTTCCGCTTACTCTTCTCCAGTCTTATCTTCGTACTCAGCTCCATTGGTCGCCAAAAGCGTAGCTCCTTTAGGATACTCTGCACATGCTCCAGTTGTATCGGCATATTCCTCACCAGTTGTGTCTGCCTATTCATCACCAATTGTAGCTAAGAGTGTATCTCCTTTAGCGTATGCCTCTCAAGCACCAGTTGCCTATGCTGGACACGCTGCTCCAGTTCTCTCTGCTTATTCTGCTGGACCAGTTGTTCAACCTTGGTAATAAGAAATGTGATACAAACCTTTAAATTATTTATTTATAAATAAAGAAACCTGATTAAACCAAACAAATGATTTGTATTATTTATAAAGGTGTTGCAAAACATTGACAATTAAGTCAAAAGAAATAATACTTAGAATAAGATAATGTTGTCATGAAAACCTTATTTTCTATTAAATCTTACTACTCATATAAAGTAAAACGTGTCATTGTATGAAATAACCTTTTTTGGGAAAACCTAGTAAGAACAAACTGGTTGTCTTTTTATGTCATTCAGTCTGTTCTAGTCTCCAGATTCTACAAATTGAATTTTAGTATAAAAATAAAAATATTTATTCTGACAAAATCCGGAGTGGTAGTTAATTGTACAACGGAATAATGACACTTTAAATTGTTTACTAAATACAACATGTAGTATTTGTCTGTTTCTATATCCATTATTGATTTTTTTGATGAACAACAAAAAAGTTTTTAGACTGTTTAACCCGTAACTGGTGAGGTCCATTTTTTGTTACGTGTATGGTGAGTTGGGGTCACAATGACCCCAATTTGTTTTGCAAAATTAGACACTGGTATCTGTTTATATTTAAAAAAAAAATGAGTTCAATAACTTAAAAACGTTTATTTTGTTATAACATAAATTTAACAAATATTTGAAATACTTATCACGCATAAAAAATTAAACTAAGAAACAGCCTCAAGAACTGAGTTATTTTGTAACTTAGTTTATTATTAACTAAACATTATCCTGTAACAAAAAAATGAAAAAAAAATTTCTTTATAAACATAAACTTAAACATTCAATATAACCTACCAACACAAAAAAATTACCAAAAACAAAGAAAATCATAAAAATTACAATCCATTTTTATAGGCAATCTTTTCAAATGTGTGTCTCACATACATGGAATATTGGCGCTTTGCAACTAATGCAAACTATCTTCATTTTTCTATCCAATGATGGTGGACATTTTGAGCACCTTATTTTTTTTCTAAAATAGCATTTTTCTATTCAGGAATGTCTGTTTTTAATATGGAAGCGATATTATGTCTCAGTTGCCTTGAAATTTCATAAATAGTTAGTTAGTCTTCTTTCCATATGATCCTGCAAAAGCTGCTAAAATTGTATAAGAACAAGTAAGAGGTCATCAAGTAAAAGATGTGTAGAATACACTGTGCATTATTCATCTAAAGCATCGACACTTTCCTCTGTTTGATTATATACCTCGATAATTTCGGGTTTGTTTATTTCATCGTTTACTGCATTACTGTGGTGTATTGAATATATCAAAAGTATAACTTTTCATGGTTTAGGTACATATAAAACTAATGTAACTCTATCGCCAAATCCAAACAGAGATGATTGCTCTGGATATTAGAAGAAAATCACCGTCTGGTTAACGAGCAAAGTGGATTTCGACAAAATCGAACTACTACTGATAACCTCATTGATATAGAATCTGATATTCTTGAATCTTTCGCGAACAAGCAGAAAAATATTGCAGTATTCATAGACATTACAAAATCATTTGACATAGCATGGCGTTACGATATTATCAGATCATTACACACTTGGAATATTAGAGGTAATATCATTAATTTCATTTTAAATTTCCTTAAACAACGCAATTTTTAAGTAAGAGTCAACCACTGCACATCTTCAACAAGATGTCAAGCTAATGGCACCCCTTAGGGTTCTGTAATAAACGCAACGTTATTTTTTAATTGAAATTAATAATAATATTATAACATCAAACTCTAGCTCAGTTTGTGGCAGATTATATGCGGATGATCTGGTATTAGTGTATTCACGAAAAAAATCTCCACTTAAGTACAGCGTCACTTAAAAATCTTACTTTATGAACTAGAAAAATGGCGGAGGAAAACAGGATTGCAGTTTTCACTAACCAAATCAAAGTGTTTGTTATTTTCAAAGCAACGTGATCCGATTAAACCGCAACTAAAATTATGTAACCAAATCCTAGATTATGCCGATGACATTAGGTTCTTAGGGATGATTTTTGATACGAAACTCACATGGAAAAAACACTTTCTACAAATAAAAAAAACATGCCAAAAGGAATTATTCTTATGAAAACTCTATTCAATAAAAACTATGGAGCTGACTATTACTGTTAATCCATGTTTATAAAACCCTAATTACATCCAAAATAGATTACGGCTCCATAGTATATGCATCTACAAAAGAATAACTATTACACCATCTTGACGTCATTTAAAATACGGCATTAAGAACAGCTATAGAAGTATTTCGGACCAGCCCAATAGAAAGTTTACGAGCAGAAAGTGGAGAGCCATCACTTAAATATAGAATGATGCACTTATCTCCCACATATGCATTTGTTGCTAATTCTAATCCAAACAATCCATCTAGAAGTAACCAAAGAGTTAGGCAAATAGTTAGGCAAACCCTTAGAACTTTAAAAATTCCGATACCAAATACCTATTCCAACTCCATACAAATTCCTCCTCCTTAAATATTAAGCATTCCTCAATCCGATACATCCTTAAATATCTCCAGAAAGAACGATACTCCACAATCCTTAATAAAAAATACTTTCATCAAAAAACTAACAAAATGTTCTAAATCTTATCATAAATACACAGACACTTCTAAAACATCTACTGGAGTTGGAGCAGCTGTCATTGCTCCAAATATTACACCTAAGTATAAACTACCATCTTTAAGCTGTATACATACTGGCGAGCTATACGCCATCTATCAAGCTCTCGTTAATATTAACTCCAGTAATATATCCAATGCTCTTATAACTACCGGTTCCCTCAGTTTCATTATTACCATTAACCAACTGTACATGAAACATCCAATTGCTCTCCTAATCAATAAAGAACTAACTACCATTCAAAACAATAACTATACTGTACAATTTCTATGGGTTCCTTCACAAATTGACCATCAAGGAAATGAGGAAGCGGATCGTACAGCCCAATAAGCCAGGCTAGTGAAATGAGAGATGTAGTTCTTAACAATTTAAAATAATTTATTAAAACAAAAGTCGAAAATCTGTGGCCAAACCAGTGGGACAGTTTAACTTCAAAACTTCGCAAAGTGAAAACGTTTGTAAAACCGTGAAAATCTTCAATTCCCAACAGAACTCACCAAGTCATTGTTACTCGTCTTCGTCTAGGACATGCCCGACTTACCCACGGACACAAAATTGGTCACACTAATCCCATTTTATGTGAAAACTGTAATATCCCACTAAGTATTAAGCATGTACTTGTAGAGTGTCCAATGTTGAGTTCTGCACATACGATGACCTCAATATAACAAATAAGGTCATCCTGAAGGGGGAGAGATATTCTGTGCAATCTAGAACTCGCTGGTTTCCCCCTTTCGAAATGGGTATGTATATTTAAATAAAAGAAGAGAAATGAAAGGCAGCGGACTGTATAAAACTCTATTTTAAAAAAGCAATAAAATAAAAACATAAATATACATAACAAAATATACCATTATAATTAAAGAAGAATATATTACTTAAAGAAGAAGAATATATTACAAACTTAACTATTAGCTACTAAGAAACACCAATAGACACACCAAAAGACACACCAAAAGACAACCATAAACCAAACAAAGCAAAAATGTCGATTCTATAAAAAACCAGTGACAAACAAAAGACAAAACCTACCATAGCCGCAAACATACTATACATAAAAAGATAAAAGATAAATTAATAATCTTACAAAAAAATCAACCTAAATAAGGATATAATATTTTAACGTTGTAAAAACAAATTAAGAATGCGGCGCATACAAATAATTAATAAGTACAATTATTAATACAAAACATACAAGAAATAAAATCGGTGTTAACAAAATACAAAAAAAAATATACAATACAGTAAATAACCCGAAACAAATGCAAAATGTCCAATTAACAATGTTCAATCTCGATCGCGGCACAAATACGATGAAGTTCCAAATATCAAATAAATATACCAAGTGCACGTACTTAATATATGCAGCAACAAATTAATATGGTGTATCGTTTTTTACCCCATGAAAAAGATAGCCCCAACGCTATCGCAAATTATGTCTTCAGCGACACTTTAACTACCAACGTTTGTGATGCACATTAGCGTCTTTTTTGGCCGATGCGGAATCAGGTACTCTTCGTCTTCACATTGTTCACATACACATGTTCATCGTTTGAGAGATACTTTTCGACTCTGGTTTTGTATGGAACGCAAACCCTTATATTAGGTACACACACATGTGCTGATATTTCGCAGATGGCCCGCCTTGCAATCTTTAGCCCTTAAAACGGCTGTGCCACTTACAGGCAAATCTGGTTTAAAATATACGAGGAGAATAGAAATTATCAAAAAGTCGGTTAATACATATTCAAATATTTATATACAGTTGCGAAACTGCAACACCCAAGATACCAGTTGCAGAGACAAAACAACCACATCATCGGATTAACAAGTGAAATCTTAGGAGAAATTTGTAAAATTGAACATTTGGTAAAATTCCTTAAAGATATCAATGTATTTAACAAAATCTAACATTTATTTTAAATAAGTTATCTTTTGTATATGTATATACTTCGCTAATAACCTCAGAGGTTGATGCGACTATTTTGTAAAATAAAAAAATAATAAAATAAAGACATATTGTAAATTACACTGGTTTTTAAAAAGTTACCCTTTATACTTAAACATATTGATATTAATAATATAACATTACTTAAACTTCTCTTTTCCTATATTCATTTGACTTTATGAATAAATTTTCCATGTTTAACCTAATCTTGGAATAAACTATTCTTAAAGCAAATATCTAAAAGTGGACTAAAAGATTGGGATAAGCTCCAAAATTTAGTAACGCAGACACGGTATATGCAAAATTCTTTACCTTATAAAAAATTTAGGATGTTTATAATTCTAGATATCAATATACCGTAGTAAACACTGTTACATGTAATTTCCTATTCTTGTGTGAATGAAATATTA